ACGCCCCAAGCAGGATCTCCCCCCTGAACCCCACCTTCCCCTGTCCCTGAGCTCCCGTGTGCTGAGTTCCCGTTCTGAGAAGCCCCCCCCCAATCAGTTCTGGGAGCTGCAGCCCAGCTAGAGAAGAACAGGTTGGAGAAGAAAACCCCCGTTACGACGGACCCGTACGGAACCCAAAGCAAAAGAAAAGCATGCAATAATAAACCACCGGAGGGGAAACGTTGCAATGAATCCCCTCAACCCCAGATTGATTTGGGCATGAAAACATGATCAGGGCCACTTGAATGCTCAAGGGGCTTCACTCACAGACCTAGTGCCAGTAAACGGCAAGAAGACAATACAAAACTGGTCATTAGACCAGAGAGGACACAACCGAGTGGTCAACCAAGACATTCGCCCAGCACTTAGAAGGCCAGTCCCCTAGAAGGATCATCTGCGTCCATAGAAACCTGCCGATCGGTTGGGATCACCAGTACAGACCCTTCTCTGGGCGGCATCTTGCTTTCAGAGGTTAGTTGGGTGGAAGCTGAGAAAAGGGACTTCTCTGGAGTGACACTCGTGATGATCAAATGCCTTCTCTCAAGATGCTAACCTTGATTTTATGCTATTTTGTTTTAAATGCCAGGTTAAAGGGTGTTCTTTGCTGAAGCATTGAATGGGGAATTGTCTTGGTTTTTCTAAATTGCCCCTATTGTAGTGAGCGCTGTTGTCTACGGTCGTCTACTGTGGTTTTATCTTTGTTCTAGGGTCTCAATTTAAGATGGTGAAAGTGGCTTGGAATCAAGTGGCAGAGAAAGAAATAGGTGGCTGATCTGTAACTATGTTTCTCTGTTAGTGGTCATCTGTGAGCTCACACCCATGGGCTAGTCTGCGCATGCGCAGAACACTTGCAGGCTTTCTAGAGCCGAGTTGGAGTATTTTGGTGGGACCTTCGCCCATTTGTTCAAGTGTGTGGTCCACCCTCTCTTGCCTCATCGAGGTCGGTTTTGGCTTGCCAGAAGATGGGGACAGCTAAGAAGGTTGGGTGATTCACAAACGACCACTTGAAGAAACACAGTTGCAGGTAAGCAAACTGTCTTTCTTTTTCATGGTCTCTGTGAACAGAGGGTGATTTCCTTCTTTATTTATATCAGAGTGCTGCATAACTTAAAATTATGTACATACAGGGCATCTAGGTAAAATTAGAAACAAATTAAAATGTTAAGATAACTAGACTATTTTTTTTTAATGAGACGTGGGCTACTTCCATAGATGTTACCTTGGCCATTTGCTAGATCTTCTTTGGTACACCTGATGGGGCATAAATTCCATGCACTGATTGAATTTCTCCACAGTCAGAGAAAATGCGTGTATCCTGTATCCAAGTACGAGCCCCACTTGACTTGGATTATTCTTTCATCATCCTACTTCACTTTGAAGTCTATTAAGGGACTTCCAAATAGTCTGGGGGTGGGGGAGAGCAATCTGGAAGGTTAACCATGCAAGAGAGGCAGTCAGCTGAGCCGGTGGTGTGAATTCCAATATCTCACCTTCTGTATGGGAGGCAGAGATAGTCAGTAACCAATTGTGGTTTGTGTTGGTTGTTGTGGGTTTTTCGGGCTCTTTGGCCATATTCCGAAGTTTGTTCTTCCTGATGTTTTGCCAGTCCCTGTGGCCGGCCTCTTCCGAGGACTGGAGGAGTCCGTTGCTCTGTTGCTGTTTGTTGGATGTCCAGTCCTACTTCCTACTCCAGTCCTCTGAAGATGCCGGCCACAGAGACTGGTGAAACATCAGGAAGCACAACCTTCAGTATGTGGCCAAAGAGCCCGAAAAACCCACAACAATCATCAGATCCCGGCCAGGAAAGCCTTCGAGAATACAGTGGTTTGTGTTGTTGTTAGCATCAAGAGATGGGTCAAGAATTAACTCTGGGACCAGTACTGCCGATGGAGATGGAGAAGGGATTGATCATCAGCTCCGTAGAGAGAGGTGGTCTCTATCTCGGAGGTAACAGGCCCGTCAGAGACCCTGCTGGGTAGCGGCGGTAAATCTTTAACGTTCTCTTTTTCTTCTGACGCTCTTTATCTTGAGTCAGAAGTAGATGTTTTCCATTTCGGTGGCAGGATAAGAGATGGTGTGGTGAGCATCAGTATCGAAGTGACCTAAGCTGGAGGAGTCAAGACAGATGTCAAAATGGAGGCCAGAACTGGTGCTCGGTATGGACCGGAGTGGATGCCTGAGGAAGGGATCCATGGTGAGAACCGTCTTATTCCACGGGCTTCTGTGAAGTCTGGCATCTTCATCTTTTCTCCCCTGCACATGAAAGGCCCTGCAGTGCTTTTAAGCCTGAGCATTGCATGTCTTTCCTAAACAAAGCAGGCGCACAGAGGGGCTGTTGGAGAGAGGAACTTTAGCAGAGCAGGAGATATGCTTCTTAAAGGATTGGGAAGCCATGCCTCATTAAGGGAACACCAGAACCAGCTGCAAGGCAGATGCCAGTAGAAGGGCAGAGAGTCAATGCTAAGTTCTGTTTTGTTTGGGTTTTTTCTTCTTCTTAAGAGCAAAAAGGGATACCTAATTCCAAATATTGTCATTAGAACCAACAATGACCTTTGCAAGAATGTAGATAAAGAGTAGAGATGTCCCAAGACGCCTGCAGCAAATGGTGGACAAAAAGACACTCAGCTCAACGAGACAGAGAGCCTGGACTGCACTCCAAGGAGGGGCTGGAGCCCCTTCCAGAATGCCCCAGCTCAGTTCTAGAAAGTCCGGAGAAGTTTAGCACATGCACAGAATAGACCACGGGTGTGTGTTCACAGAGGCCACGAAGAAGCATACAGTGATGCCTCGCTTTACGATTGCCCCACATTACGACGAATACACTTAACGACGATCTTTCTGAGATCGCAATTGCGATCGCAAAATGATGGTCTAAATGGGGGAATTTCGCTTTGTGATGATCGGTTCCCTGCTTCGGGAACTGATTCTTTGCAAAACGATGTTTTTCTAACAGCTGATTGGCGGTTTCAAAATGACCGCCGGGTAATTAAAATGGCTCCCTGCTGTGTTTAGGGATGGATTCCTTGCTATACAGGCAGCGAAAATGGTGACCTTCTATGTTTTGATAAAGGAAACACATTCAACCAAATTAGGCTCTGAGGATGGCACTGTACTTGTGGCTCTAGTAAGCCTGGCCATTTTTTCTTACCAACACTCAATCTGTGCCCTGCATGTTCTTCTGTGTGTGTCTGGTAGACTTGTGTTTGTCTCAGGAGGTGACAGGCAGAGCTTGGAAAAGTACCTATTTTGGACTATTACACCCCAGACTGTGTCAGCTACCCTGGGTTCTGATTCTGGGATTTTGGGAGTTGTACTCCAACATGTATTTCTTCTAAGCTCTGTCAGAAACGGGAAGCTTGGATTTAAGAAACAGCCACACAGCCTCTGAACGGCGGGTGCCAAGCCCTCCGAACAGGCTGCGTTCAGACCACAGGAGCAGGAGGCTGCGATGCACCCAAACATACTAAGCCTAGGGAGAGGAGCTAAAAAAAGAGTAACCTCCTTCCAACCCCGGGGAATCGAACCTTCTGATTCCTGCCTTTGAATAGGTGGAAACAAAGTGTGCATTCCAGCTTCAGTTACTGCAATGGAGGAATGGTGTGAGGAATTTGCACATGCATAAGAGGGAGGCGCGTGCAAACGCGGTGTTGAAGTGTGAGCAACAGACATGCAACGTCCGATTTGCAGCAGCCAGCAGAAAGCACCCTTTCCTCGGCATCTGTGGTCCCCCCCCCCAATAAGGCACTGGGGGGCACTGATGCGGCACATAATTGGAAAACCCATGGAACAAGAGGGTCACCTTTTTTCCGTACTTTTGGACAACCTCCTCGCTGTTTTTAGGGAACACATCATGGGCAAGGTATTGCAGAATGCAGTGTGCGCCAAGCCGCAGGTGAGAAAAAGCCTTTGGCACGAAGTGGACAAAAGGCTGCAAGGAATGGTCATCAGAAAAACAGAGGGAAAGAATTCAATCCTACTTACCTTCGGGATCCCGTGGAGGGTCGTCTGCTCCCTGGCAGGGACATAGCAATGAAACGGCCGGTCGGGAGGGTGGCGCCAGCTGTGACTCCAGCTTGGGGGGGGGGGGAGAGAAACATGGAGAGTGAAAATGAGACATAAAGTGAAAGAGAAAGAGAAAGAGAGGGTCCGCAGGGAGGAGAACCAGCATACACGTACAGTGGTGCCTCGCATAGCGAGGTTAATCCGTTCCGGATTAACCTTCGCTATGTGAAAACTTCGTTAAACGGAAAGTTAAAAGCCATTGTTTAATGCGTTCCAAATCGGCTGAAAACTCACTGTTTAGTGAAGTTTCCTGGGTCCGGCAGCCATTTTCGCGCCCTTGGTAAGCGAGGGGAGGGCGCGAAAACGCTGTGCGCAGCCATTTCGGGTGTCCGGCGGCCATTTGGGAACCGCCGAACAGCTGATCCGTGGCGTCGCAAAGCGAAGATCGGTAGGCGAAACGCTTACCGATCTTCGCTATGCGAGCTTTGCCCATCGGGGCCGACGTGATGCCTCCGCATTAGCGATCCCGGAAAAGGGATCGCTATGCGGATTCGTTGCTATATGAGGCGCTCGTTATGCGAGGCACCACTGTAGTTGTTTCAACTTATCCTCACATCTGTGTATTGTCATCTGTGTGAGGGTACTGTGTGACTTTCTTCCCGGCCAGGTCCTTACCTGTACTTCTTCTAGTCTTGCCTGTCGGTTTCCCACACTCCACTGCTGAAACCTTACCTCTATCACATTGCAATTAAACCTTCCTGTTCTAAGTGGAACCCAAGTACATTTCAAGTACAAGTGTATTCTTAGTCTCTCTCTCTTTTTTTTATTAAGCCTCTTTGCCATCATGACAGTGTGTCAGTAAACAGTGTGAAAAGTAGAACCGATTCTGAGCACAGCTTGGTGGCAGATTCTTGAAATGTTTGGCGCACTCTGCACCTTTCATGATAACAAGAGGAAAAGCAAGAATGGTATTTATTATGATGAATGGCCACGAACCCCACTGCCTCCTCTTCAGCCAGTGCCACCCTAAAGGAAGTGAGAGTTTCATAGGGCACACAACAGACAAGGGGGCAAGGGGACCCTGGCGGTCTTGAGCATCGCTCTGTTTGCTGGGCCCGCTAACCACACCCGTAGGAGAGTGGCAAGTGGGAAGACCTGGGTGGTAGGGGGAGCGTAAGACATGCATGTGGAAAAGGGATGCCCAAGTGACCACCAGAACCCTAGAGAAAGAAACCAGCCTACGGCATGAATCAGCCTGTTAACAACCCATGTTGGTTCTCCCTCAGTGAATCTGACTATACTTCATGGCACTGGGAATGTAAAGAACAAAAGCAAAGGTAGTCTTTAAAGGTGGGCACAAACCGGTTCCTCCCAGTTCCTCCCAATTCATGAATTCACAGGTGCTGCTCCTCCCCTCCCATACCTTATCAGCGGATTCAGCCCCTCCCCAGGCCCAGCTGGTTTGTTTTCTCACCTCCTGGGCTAATCTCCCAGTTAGGAGCAAGAGCCTGGACTTCTCTGCCCTGCCTTTTGGTCTGAGGGGTAGATCAGCCGAGAGGCAGAGAAGCCTGAGCCATTGCCGGGACTGGCAGATCAGTTGAGGAGAAAGGGACTAGAGGCAATGGGCACAGCCACTAAATAATCAATGGATAATTTTGTTGTTGTTGTTTAATCGTTAAGTCAAGTCCGACTCTTCCTGACCCCATGGACCAGAGAGCACGCCAGGCCCTCCTATCTTCCACTGCCTCCCAGAGTTGGGTCAAATTCATGTTGGTCACTTCGATGACACTGTCCATCTATCACAATGGATAATTGGATAACTTTAAATTGTGTTCCTAGAGATGAGGATGAACAAGCACGCAGGACAGCAGAAAGAACCACACCAAACAGAATTGGGTTATCAGAGAAGTGTTACTGGCTGCCTCTGAATTTTAGGGGCAGGTTTCAGTTTAGCTCCAATGGTTGTTCTATTGCTTCTCAACTATAATGACACAGAGAGACTGAGCATAAACAGGTTACTATGCTCTGAGTCTATAGGTTTTGGATAGGAAATAGAAATGAGCACAGCGAAAAGTCTTGTATTTCTTTTTTTTTTCCAGGTTTGTGTGTGTTTCTCTGTGTGTGTCTGTGTGCCTCTTTTGTTTTTCTATTTCTCAGCTACGGTTCTTTTTGTTTTACATGAAACGGAAAGTCTTTTTTGCATTTCCCATTTGTGCTTCCCTTTCTGTGTATTCTACCACCTGAAAAGCCCTAAAGAACCATTGAAAGTTTCTCAAAAAAAGCAGAGGCAAGACAACAGAGAATCAATCTACTCCAAATGCAGGCAAGAGTACACAGGGGAAAAATAATAATCAGACCTATGCTTGCATAAGTTTATATTATCATATTCAAACAACAGTATATGTTCAGTGCCCCCCACCCAGCACAATAGACCCTCAAGGACTGGCCAGCACAACAGTAAAAAAGCAAGGAAGAAATCAGACAGGCTGGCACTGGCCTGGCACACAGAGACTCCCACTCACCAAAGTGACCAACAACAACACAACAAGGACGATAGAGAAATGCCTCAAGTTGTTCATTCCTAACCAAACACCACCAGACCCACACAGTCCACTGACACAGTAAAAGTCCACCTCCTGCAGTAACAAACACATCAGTCAACCCCCAACCAACAAAATATACACCCATATTAACAGAATAAGTAAATTAGCCAAAAAACAAAGCAAAACACTGGACAAATAGCAAAATATTTTTTTAAAAAAATAGACAGACACCTCTCCTCCCCTAAATCAATAAAAAGCAAGCAAGCAAATAAAGGCAAACAAGAGTCAGTCAAAGCTCCTGCAACCAAACTATTAGAATGCAGAGATATTTCTCTCACCCCGCCACTTGAGGTCTTCTTTTTCTGTTCTTTGAGTCTAGCAGACATCAGACGGCAGGCCAGGCAGCAGTAAAGATAACCCAAAAAGTAAAGGACCAGTAACAACAAGAAAAATAACAACAATGGAGGAAACAACCTCCAAGAAATCAAGCAGGAGGGGAAATCCAGGCAGACTACCTTGACAGCAGCAAAAATAACCCAAAGAAATTCGGAGGAAAACCTCCTCAACATCAGGGAATGGGGGAGAGGAGAAGTCAAAAAAGGAAAGGAACAAAGATGGACGGTTCCAGAAGCAGAGCATACAGTAATCCTACAAAGAATTGTGGCAAAGAGCCTGTATTACTGAGTTCCTTTTACAGATTCAAAATTCCCATCCTCCCCTTCCTGGACATTCTGACTGGCTTCTGAAAGCCCCTACAATGGGACTGGATGAAAAATTTCTTAGGCGATTTGACAGACAAAGGGCGGCGGTAACAAAAGGTGATACGAAAGAGGGAGCACGAAAGAAACACAAAACCTTTGCATACTGCTCTTTCGTGAACGCAAAGTCATTCCTATTTAGAGGTGGTCTTTCGGAAATCCCTGAAAGGACACGAATTACACGGAAAGAGTTCCTTTTTGTGTTCTGGATCTTTCTTGTAGACACAAATGGCCCATCCCTCGTGGGGAAATGTCACACCAATCCTACCTTAGGACTTGCAGACCACACTGATGTCTTGCTGCATCCCCAACCTGTGAAAAACTCCTTAAAAAAAAGAAATTATGCAGAGAGGCTGTTGTAAATCTTCAGTGCATTTTCCACCAGAGGAGACTGCCTTGCGCTTCACAGTACACAGGCAAAGTGGGGAGGAACATGGCCTGGCTCTCCTAAAGTGGGAGGCTCCGGGGCACCCAACCCCTTCACTCCCTTGGAAGGGGTCAGGGGTCTCTCCGGCTGCCTGAGAAGCTGGACGCCTCTCTGGATAAGAGCTACTGGATCAATTGAGCCTGCTTCCCTGAGATGCAAAACTGCGGTAGTTTTGCTAATGCGCCAAGATTAGTCATCCCCCGGCGTGTGGCTTGCACGCTGCAAGGGAAGAGAGAGAGAGACACACAGTCCAAGGAAAACCGGCGCGGCGGACTGCAGCACGGAACTAGGCAGCCCTACTGTGATAGCACCGCAAAGCCACAAACAAAGGAAGGCTAGAGTGGAGGAGTCTTTCAGCTTCACAAAAAAGCAGAGATAAAGGACAGGCACGAAAAGCCATCCCTCCGTGTCTGTCCACCAATAAACTCCAGGACTGCCACGTTTGGTGCGGTCACTCCAAAGCAAGCCCCACTGAACCCAGTGGGACTTGCTTTCCAATAAGGAAGGATCTAATTAATTCCCAATAATTGTTTTTAAAAATCTGCAGGAGCCCTTGTGAGTGACAGATGTGACACACGGAGGAGACACTGGTTTAAAACTGAAAACACCCGAAGAAGACAGCTTTAATAACCCCCCTTCCCTAAACTCAGTGTAGCGATATTGAGCACCGTGGTCAAGCCCTATGCGGACACACAAATGTCTCATTTTTAAAAAGGAAAAGAAAAAGGGAAGAGTTCCCCAGTGGAGAGGCCACTGCTTTGCAAATCTTGAAAAGTTAGCCTTTGCAGAGTGTTTCAGAGTACACTTCTCCCTTCAACAACAATGAAGTTCGGGATGTTGGGCACCCGTGTAATTAAAAATCTGTGTATTAACTCTTAGGTCCCCCAAAATGTAACGACAAAGCATAAACAGTTGATTCATACACACAGAGTGAGCGAACGAACGCATAAACAGTTGATTCATACACACACACAGAGCAAGCGAACGAACGAACGAGAGAGAGAGAGAGAGCGATCAGTTTTCTCGGGGGTCTCTTCCATAGCATTTCCATGTGTAATTATGAGCTTTAAAGGACCTTATGGCCCCTTGATCTAGAGCAGTGGTCCTCCAACTGGGGGTCTCCAGATGTTCTTGGGCTGCAACTCCCAGAAATCCTGGCCAGCGCAGAACCTCTGCAGCTCCCAGATGTTCTGGTAGCTGCAGTCCAAGAACATCTGGAGACCCCCAGTTGGAGAACCCCTGGCCTAGAGGCTGAGTTAGAGATGTTGTGTTTGGGGGCAAGGAGAACACTTTGATGCCTTCAGCGTTGATCTCATGGAGTTCTAGGAGGCCAGGGATAATG